CTTCTTCGTCTATATTTATTCCTTTGTTTCCAAGATCTCGTTCTTTAATGCGTATGGCGCACCTTTAACCAGCCACTTCTGAGTAATTTTACTCGTAAAAATTTTCAATAATCAGATGTTTTTGAAATTATGTTTCTAAATATTTAAGTATTGCAATTAATCCACAGCAGAAAATAATCTGATAATTATTTTTCCTTTATTTCGTCTTTGAATCGCGATATTTTTTTATTACTCGTGTTCGAAACAATAAATCAATAATTTGAAATGTTCTTAATCTTTGAGGACGTAAACATCTCAAATTCGAATAAATTTACTTATATTTTTCTTATATTTTTTCATTTTTAATCATACATCGTTACATTCTCTAATGCATAATAATAATAAATCAAACAAAAAAAAATTATGAAGCATATGTTAACAGAAAAGATATCTATAAATTTTGCATATAGAATGCTAATTCAATTACTCTATCATTTTTATTTTTAGATTACCGTTCTCTATAGCTTCGATAAATTATTTCTACATCATTTTCCCACGATACATTCCATTCGTTCGATATATTGTTCTTCAACTCTCTTTCGTAATATCGTAAATATCATTTTCATTTTTAATGATATTTTTTAGTTTCTCTATATATTCCTTTTATTTCGTAACACAAGAATCTATTAAAATATATAATTATTTTATACCGGTTAATATTTATAAAAAGAATACTAGAGCAAATCCATGTACGTTCCCATTCATATTATACGACATTGAACGCTCAATTTCTCTACTATGTGATCTAACCTAAAAACAATTTACCTACGTATTTGTCGCAATCAAGATTGTAACATTCATTACATACAACACATTCCCTGCATATATTATATCATACTTCGATTCTATATTATGACCTACTTAAATGCCGCGTAATATGTTCTTAGTTTGTTAATTGTAAAATCACAATTTTTCGTCCGTGATTCATTCGTTCCGCGTATTATTGCGAAATCGTAGCTGTATTCGTAAACGTGCATAAAATTTCATGGAATAGCACGTGCAGTTTGACGCAAAAATTCTCGAATGATTCGACGATACAATTAGAATTATTAAATTGTAATTATGGATAATTAAAATTGAAAATGTGTTGATAAAAATATTCGCTGCATAATTTTAACAATAACAAGAATAAAAAAACATATACGATAATTCTATCTTTTTACGTTCTAAAAGACAATGAAAACGATTTCCAATGGACTGGTGTTCAGCTCTTTAGTCACTATTATCTATCCTCTGAGAGGTTATGTTCGCTTCGAAGAATAACAAATGCATATATATTAAGTACTCAGACGATGAATCAAATAAAAAAGTAATCATTAACGAACAATATTTTTTACAAATATATATCCAATTATTATATACGGGATAAATAAAATTTAGTAGAATTTCTTATAGAAAATTCTACATCAATTACGTATCACTTCCGATTGAGACATACCATCCTACTTAAAGAAAGACCAATGAAAACACATGTCTCAATTCCCCCACTATAGCTCTAAGTGCTACACAATTAACCTATTGCTTAACATAATTTTTACAAATAGTATAACTAAGAAAATATAACGGCAGAAATTAGATTAAAGTTAAAGAAAAATGAAAAAGTCTAAAGATTAAATAAAAGTTCACAGATAACTTTCATTTCATATATGCCACATATGTTTCTTAAAAAAAAAAGAGAGGAAAAAAAACGAAACAAAGATAAAGGAGAAAACTTGAAAATTTATCTCAAGAAATTATGACCGTATGATCCCCTGTCCCGGAATGTCCATCGCGTATCCCTACATTTCCTCGCTCCTGGTCATTTCTTTTTCTATGTGGTGGCGGGCTGCCGGCGGCGTCCACCGGTTCTTCGACGCGTTATCGATCCCGCTATTCGCGCGTGCTCGAGAGACGCCCTCTCCTGCGGCAGCTGCCGCGCACCACACGCGTCGATCCACGACCGATTTGACG